TTAATGCACCCCAGGATGCCACTGGCCTTCTTGGCAGCTAGGGCACACTGCTGGCTCATGGTTAACCTGTCGTCCACCAGGACACCCAGGTCCCTCTCCACAGAGCTGCTCTCCAGCAGGTCCGCCCCAAGCCCGTACTGGTGTATGGGGTTGTTCCTCCCCATGTGCAGGACCCTGCACTTGCCCTTGTTGAACCTCATCAGGTTCCTCTTCGCCCAGCTCTCCAGCCCTCCCTTTAGCTGAGCACGCAGTTTCCTACACCCCTTTCACATTTAACAGAAACCTACCTTCAGGCATTAAACAACATCAGTTGAATCCCTGAGCACTGCTTATCAATCACGTGGACAAATCAAACAGGATTTTTGTATGGAAAAAGTGATCTAAACCTATCAAACTGCATATGCAAAAGGAGCTCAAATTCAGTTCAGGCTAACTTGTTTCAAGTATGCCTTAAGTCCTGAATATTTTGACTGTAACCATATAGCATCGCTGAAGGCATTACGAACACTGAAAGTTCACATGGGCTCAAAAACCAACAGGGATACTTCATAGAAGGAAAATCCACGACAGCCTGTTAAATAAAACACCATCACACCTGGGTTTGGATCTCTCTGAGCTGTGAATCATTAAAGGCTGGAAGAAGTATTCTGGAGAGGCACGACTATGCTTCTGTTGTTCTTATACTCAAGGCATCTGCAATTGTCCACCATTGATGACAGGATACCAGCTGGATGATCTTTGGTCTGACCCAGTACCATGTTGCCTCTCTCCGAATGGTAGCTAGCAGAGTGGCAACACTGTTGACATCTTGCCTTTTGGTAAGTGGTCTACAACCAGCCCAATGATAAATGTGATTAAAAATGTCATATATAATCCTAATGACTTAGGACATAAGAAATTCTGAAGATTGACAGTACCTTCCCTATGTAAAAATGTGGGGGAGCTTTTGAGGGATGCAAGTCAAAGGATTGCTGAACATCATCTCATTAATTTCCTTTATTTACTTTCTAACTACAAATAAACCTTACTTATTTTTATTACAGTAATACCTAAAAGCAGCCACTAGGGTCTTGTTATGCTAAAATGCCACATAAATACACAAAAGACATAGTCTTTGCCTCAAAAGTACTTGTTTTAGGGCAAGATAAAGTAGACAAACAGCAAAATGGAGCACTCAATAACCTGAATTACTTGAGAGGTAGTTTGGAAAAGTCATCTGAGTTCCATGACGATTTTCAGGAAAAAAGTGAATAAGCAAATAAGTGCAACTGATGGCTGAGAGTCCTCCTATAAATGCCCTGGTGTAACCAACTACCATCACTCAGAAACTGAATCCATAACCAGCTTGATTCCGTCAAATGGGTGTAGCACTCATCTTGTCAGCTTATCTAAACAGCTTACAGCATACAGTAACTCATTCTTCTGACCCAAGCAAAAATACAAACAACTAAACACGTGGCCATCTTAACACAATATACGTAGAACAAGGGTGAAGAGCAGACAATTCAATCATTCAAACGCAAACCAAAACAGAATACGAATATCCAAAAGCCAAACCAAATCAAGGGTGCATCCCTACCAGTAAAGAACATCAGAGAAATGCAATGTAAGTATCAAAATTCTGATTCATTTTAGCAGCTAAACTCTCAAGATCTGCTTTACATGCAACATCCCACGGCAGTGAGTCTCACTGTTCAAATGGTATAAAATACTAATCTCTAGAAAGTAGCCCTTCATAACCTTAAAGCCACACCAGTTAACATACAATCAGACTGAAGAGGTTTTAACAAGTAACTGTAAAAAATTGCAAGTTATAAAATACACCTTGAGTTCAGTACAAGTCTACAGACAGTCACATTTCTAACACGAGTCTTTTGATGTGCTTAAGCCAGTGTAATAAAAAGTACGACAATACAAAGAATTCCCCTCCTACTCTTAGCCAGACACACAGTATACAGTTCTGACAACACTTGACGCTGAAATGCGATTCAAATACAAGTCACATATTAGAAAAGACAGACACCTCCATGATAAAGTGTCTGAAAAACTACTTGCAAGTATACATTTTGAACACCCACTAGCATTAGTCTTATATTTAGGTATTGCTTTTTAAGAAAGGCAGAGCATGAGATTCTTTCCAGTCCATCTACTATTTCTGCCATTACCACTTACAAGTGCCAGCCCAGTCCCAGCGCTATTTAAGCCGTGTGCATCAGAGGTAATCCTTCTACTAACACAACTGAGATTTGTCTATATATTTTGTATTAGCTGTGTCTAGTTCCCCAGGTTCACAGGTTCTTACTGACATTGGCACTTATTTGCACTAGTACATTAATGATATTTTTGAAACATGTCTTTCTTTAATAAAAGCAGAAATGGGAATTTTTATTAAACACTACTTGACACTAAGAGTCTCATAGTGTCATGTACCTTTCTGGGAATACCAGTAATGTAAGCCCAAAGAGTTTAGCAGAAGAGAAGGGAGCAGGCTAAGAACACAGCCTCAGGCGAGCTCTGCTCGAGCTGCTGGGGAATTGCACACACCTGTGTCAGAATAAGACCTTCTGGAATGGTCTCCTTCAGTGCCTGTAAAGGAAGCCTGCACAGACTAGCTCTGACCTGAAATAAAATCTTTAGATTTCTAAGGCTACCTGATATCTTATCTGATACAAGCATGTTGCCCATTTCACAAAAAAATATTAATCGAAGGGCAATACTTGTATTTACTACTCTGAACGGTGTAAAAACCCCCACTTCTACTACAGCAGTTGCAGTTTGAGAAGCACTCTTAGAAATTTTAACTGTACTTAAGACTTCATTGGACTGACTTGTGTCACTGGTAGGTAATGTCTGTGAACTAGCCATTTTTGACTCTTTCCAAAGAATTTATAATTCTTTCACAAGAAAGATTTTTTTCACTAGAAAAACTGAATGAAGTACAATACCAGAACACTATTTTTTCTGACAGCTTAATCTATGCAATTAAAATCAAATAACCAAAGACTTGGAAATCTGCTACAAACTTTCCAATCAAGAGGAAAGAATTCAAACTAAAAGATACAATGAAAAGAGCTGAGAAAAAAAAAAATCTGAAATAACATTATTAAAAACATTACATTTCTAACGTTCTCCCTCATAATTTTTTTCCCCTTCATTTAAACAAAAAATTGTTCATAATTTAAGCTTTTGGTCACAGCAGACAATCAGTTTATGAAGTAATTCTTCAATTTTATGATCATCTGTTCTAGGAATAAAACAAAAGCCTCCTTTATTTTTAATCTACCTTTTTAATCTTGAAAAGTAAAACTGAAAAGCTGTAGTTAAAGATAATTTCTTAAGTGTTTCAAAGAAAGCGTTCACACTCACCAGTGCTGCTGCTTTCAGATTTTTCTTCTGGTTGGCTTTCTGGAAAAAAAAAAAAAAACAAACCACAAATGAACAAAAAAAGGAAATGTAATGTTTCTGTGTTGATTATTTGAAACTACATCTAAAAAGTGGGTTGCAAAGCAAGGAATGATAAATTATGCCAAAACTCATAACCACTGGGTTTGATTAATGTTTATAAATCTACTTTCTGAAGAATCATTTGCCACAAGGAGCAACAAAAAAATATCTCCTTTACTACCCAAATTCACAACCTAAATGAGAGAACTCCATTACACCTCTGACTGAGCTCTTCAGGAATGAAGTTACACATTTACACAAACCAGTAGTAGGATTATACTTATGCAATGAATAGCATCCATTTATCTCTCTGGTCACTCTAGACAAATGAGTATTATTTTTGCATATTTTAAAAAAAAAAACCAAGGTTCTGCAAAAGAATGGCATTAGGTAAATTTTTGAACTCGATCAACCTCTTCTCTGCCCTTTCCACGTATCACGCAATGATTTTTTTCCTCAATCTTTTCCCTTTCTGAGGACTGGCCCTCAGATGTTCCTACAGCCCCACTTGTTAGGTACAAAAAAATGCACATAATCAGAGATATCTCCTGTTTCGCAGAGCAGAGAATCAACACATGCATGAAGGAAAAATCTAGACACCAGTGTTGCGAAGTACCTTGCCAAGAAATTATCACTCAGGTGAATGGCAGAGTCAGATTCAGAAACAGCTTTCTACATGAAATCCCAGTCCCACACTTCAAGATACTGCAGGCAGCAGGTGTTATTTTGGTGAACTAAGGTCTGACACTTACCAAGTCCTATGAATTTAAGCCCCTGCATAAATATGTCAACTTGAAATTTGACTGCTCCTCCTATATTTCTCCTTTTTACACATCCTCTAAGGTAGAGAATAAAAAGAACATTTACATTTAACTGAAATACAGTTAAAAACGGTAAAATGTACTTGTCCTTAGCTTTCAACTCAGACATGTCACAGCTATCATTACACACTACTTACAGGCGAGAGTGAATTACTTGCTCTGCCTCAGAGAGTAATTTTTGAGTTCAGTTAGTTTGATCATTTCTGCCATTTACAGGCTGGGTATTAACAGAACTGAAAACATGAAATATTTTACCAAACCTTTTTCTTGCCACTGATTCTTGCTGGCTTTCATGGCTGATGGCCCTGTTTATTCATTGAGGTGCCTGACAGCCTGAGGACTAATGCAAATGGAGAAAGCAGTATCTCACAGATCCTTCTTTCTTTACCAGTGACTGTCCTTGTCTTAGTAGCTGAAGGCATGCGCTTTCTCGCTGTGTAAACATCATTATATGGCCTCTGCCCACCCATGAGCATTCACAAAATGAGTTAAGATCCCTGCCAACTTTCAGATATACATGCAAGACAGCCTGTTTGCAGAAAAACACGTATTTTCTCATTGACTTTTTTATGTGTGTGTGTATTTAGCACATTTACAGCATGATGTTATTACCCAACCACCACCCTAACCCAGCTGTACCTTAACTGAGGAAACGTTCAGTACATACACAAGAAGCAATGAGGACGTAATGAAGAACATGCAAAATATCAACCCCTGCCTAGACTGAGATGTGAGAAGCAGCTGGATTCAAAGCTGCTACTTTTTATCTCTGTTTCAACGAAAAGACTAGCTACCTAGCCAAAATTTCTGCATTAAGACACCACAAGTAAAAACTGTTAATGGCATCTCCGATTCAAATAACAATAAATGTGTATCATGGCTACAGGAGGAGTGTGTTTGCTTGTATGTAGCGACAGAATCTGCCCTCAAGAGCAGAGACAAAAAGTCAGACAAAATTCAAGTCCTGCAAAGAAGTGGTGGGTTTTTTTCATTATCAGACAATTTGGTTTTGTTATGATTAGGTCACAAGTCTCTGCCTCAAAATTCTTCTCACTACTAATATCATGAAGAAGGTAAAGTGACTTGTACCATGTCTACTCAACATATTTTACCAATGCAGACCACAGCTGTTCAACCTCCTCCAGAACATGCAAGACTAACAGACAAACGCCAACAGGTTGGGGTTGGTTGGTTGGGGTTTTGTTGTTGTTTTTTTATTGAGGGTGGTTGGTATTTTGCACATACATCAGTGAGACTGAAAAAAACAGAGAAATCTAAGGTCACTGAAGTAGGCAGAAAGCCAATTCTATTCCCATCACACTGAGCCCATTCTAACATCCCATATATTTTGTGCACTATATCCTTAATTGTTTAAATTTCTACAGGAATTAACTGTCTATAGTTTTAAAAACAAAAATGTAAAGGGAATTAGGAGCTTACCCCTGCCAGCCAGCTGAACCCACTTTACAGTAATTTGTTAATTCTCCCAACACTCATATGAAGTAAATAAATAAAATTTCCATTTTTTAGAGATGGAGACATGTTGTAAGCAGTTGCAGTTGTTTTCTAAATGGACCCTATGCCACAATAATGCATATGAAATCTTAACCCATCAAAATGCTGTCTGTAATCACACTAGCTTGAATCAGATATTCTGCTGTTCTGATCATGGGTTGCATCTTCTTTATGATCCTCACAAATATTTGGAAATTTGCATAAACACCAGAACACTGAAAGGCTGCTGCTGCTTCTGTTTCTTTTGCTTGTGAGGCTGCTGATAGGTTTTTTTTCTTCTGCTAACAGCAGTCCGTAAAAGACTGAAGTACATAAAGGAACAAAGAAGCATTAAGTAAGACCCTAAAGCATTTTTGAGACTGGAATGTGTGGTTGAGTGACAGCCTGAACAAACAGAGACAATTGGAAATGCTGTTAAAGTCGACAGGTTTACGTCAAAACTCCTCAGCAGGCAGAGCTAAGACGGCAGAACGATGAGGGAGGGTGTTTATTTCCTAAGTAATAGTTTGATGAGAAATTTGAGAAGTCAAACATTCATCTAATAAGACTGGAAGTAGTATCACAAGGCATAGAGATTCCGAGCACTACATATTTTACTGAAAATAGTTAAATGTAATTAAAGAAGTAACTGCTTTAATGAAAGAAAGAAACCAACCTCTTTCCAGGATTTTTATTAGTGTTTCTTTCGTTCACATTTCTTTAAATGGCTGGATATAGCTGATATTTCAAAATACAAATATACAAAATCCTGAATACAAACCTCTGAATATTCATTTTCACTGGAATACAACTGCACACTGTAAGATATACAATAGGTGTGATTTATGTACAAACTCAGAAAAGTTCCTTTCATATATAGGAAACTGTATAAAGGGAAAACTCAAAACAAGGAGACAATATTCAAGGAGTGTGGGAATAAAGGAGCTATTGTAAGGTGTATAGGCAGTGTTATGTGTAGTATTGAACAAGAATACAAAAAAAATTTAACTTCATGAATTGAGATTCTGAAGTAAGAGAAGGCTTCAAAAACTGGAGAAGAATGTCATGTTAAGAGCCAGCAACCTTCTGCGAGGCATGAAACCGTGAAACAATCCATGCATGAATGCTGCTCAGAAACAAAGGTCTGGTAGTCATTCTGTCAATGGAATTCTCTAAACACTTTTTACTTTCAGTAAGATGGAATGAGCATGAAGGAATTTGAAGTCACTAAAATAGGTATTAAGGCAATCCCACTTATGAAGGGGGAGTTGTGAAGATATATTCAAAATTTCAATAAAATGAGTCATCTCACCCAACTTTACAGAAATATCTTGTACTTTATTTGGTCCTACTTTGTAAAACCTTCCTCTCCACCCATCACTGCTTTACAGTTAGGGATGCAACTGCCTGCCAAGGTCTGTGTTTTCCCAAGTCACATTAGTAGCACATTTTTCCAAGAACTATTTTGGTAAGAAACTTTTATCATTATCTATAACATAGCTGCAATTTTATGTATGTTTAGAGCCAGCAATTCTAAACTACCTGCTGGCAGAGAAATTAAGAAAAAGGCAATTAAAGCAGTAAGGGAATTCATTTATAATCACAATCAGAAAAGTTTGCTGTTAAATGTTTAATAAAAGCATGTTCACATTCCTTCAACCAAGAAAGAAACTGTCAAATTATAGCACTTCCTTATGCCAGCATGTCTGCCAGTATGAAGCTCAGAAAAAAACAATTTTAACCAAACACACCCAGTATCAAGCCCATGACTTGCCCCTAGACAGTTCTTAGTTATAGACGAATAAGAAAAATTCATATTGTTCAGTACAACACATTGAAATATATGCAAAATGCTCTCCTTTCCTCCCGCCCAAAAAATTACAGCTATGATAGCTGATGACAAAGATAAGATAAAATGACTGGAAGCACAAATAGCATTGTTGCGTAGCAACTGTTGATGTACATATGGTGATGTTTATGGAACAGAATGTAGTTCATATTTAATGCAGAAATAATACTGAAACCAGCCTAGACAGCAAGACCTAGACAGCAAGAGACAACTTTGGATCCCTCTGCAGTCATCACAGAAGCCACGCTTCCCGCCAGCCTTGCTGAACTGATGTTGAACATCGAGCACCATCACAGGTCTTAGCGATTTGCCCAGCAATGTCTCACATGTGCAAACAGCCTTGCAAGGGCAGTAGGGAGATATTTTGCACCTAATATTTTCGGAGTGCATTGTACTACTCTGTATAATTCGTTGGAGCTACTTCAACACACAGAAACGGAAAAAGAAAAGAAACAGGAGAAACCCCAGAGTTAGTCTAAACAGAAAGAGCACCATGTGTGAAAGTCAGTATAGACCAGCTTTTTAACAGTATCTTGGATGGGATCCATTTTATCCAGCTTTACCTTAGCTCAGATCTAGTACACACACTGCAGAATACCAAGAAACTGCAGTTCATTAGCCTTTGGACATAACAAACAGCACCTCAGAAAATCCTACTGCTGTCCATTAACTAACATGGGACCACAAGAGATGCAGAGGTTTACAGTGCTAAGAACTGAACGATTTCTTCCAACTACCACGTGTTGGAAGCAAGTTTCGTTACGACAAAAGAAAACAAAACCCACAGGAAAGCCATTCAAAAGTCTAGAAATTACATAATGTAGAAAATACTAAACTACTTGTCATACTTGATCTCTTTTGCTTGCTCTATGACCTGACGAGTCAAAGCTTTGTCATCTCTCATTCATTTTCTGAAAGACCATCAAAAAGATAGTCACTGCAACATAAGGATCCCAGGATTACAGGACAGCACACAGAACAGATCTCAGGGCTTTCAATGTGCTCCAGAAAAGCGGAAGAAACCCCACCCAAACCCACAACCAAAAAACCTCCACCTTTTACAAAAGAAACTCAACTGGTTTATGCCATTTGCTCTATTTTAGGTAAGTTCAGTCCTCCAGAAGGTTACTGAGAGCAACAGTGCATGAAGCACTTTTTAATCCATATTTCATTTGCAGAATTCCTCAAACGCGTCCTTCCAGATGCAACATTAGCAATGCCATCTGCAGTTCCACACCAGCTTAATCTTTGGCCCATAATTCAAATTGGCATGATTCTGCTACATGGTGCGCTTCGCAAAAGAAAAAGGAACAAGATCACCAACGCTTTTCACAGAAATATCCCAATTATAACTTGAAGACAAATACTGGTCAGTGAACATAAGAATGAATTTCATTTTCCTAAGACTGTCTCTTACTGTGGATTGACTGATGTGCAAAGATGTGCAAGTTTTTACGGAGTCTTTTTTTTCCATGGTTGATATAATGTTTTTTCCATGTGGACTTTCTGGCATCAAATATGGTAGCAGCTTTTCTTTCAGTCGGGATATCCGTATAGTTTCATTCCACTCTTCAGACACCTGTTTTCACACTAGCCATAGTTCACTAGGAAATTTGTTGAAATTGGCTGTGGAGCGCTAAACATTGGTGATACACATTTAAACACAAAAGTGTAGCTGCAGGAACACGGTGTCTGTAAGACATCTGACTGGGATTTGGAATATTTGTGTCACATTCATCTTTACAACCGAAAAAAGTCATGCAAGAAAAGCACATTAAAGTTTATTTTCGATTGTACTGCCAACGCCGCTTTAACACAACAGCAACACATTTTGGCCATTTTGCATTTAAGCAAGTTTTCGTGAAAACTCACTGACTGCACGTTATGCTTGCTAATCTCAAACAAAAACAGTTTTGACAGGGTCTACGCTTATTCACTGCTTTATTCCAAACATTTCTCATTTCACTAACTACCCTTTGCTCCTGATTAATATAATAATGTCTAGTCCATATATCCATGGTCCTTGAATAACATTTTCTAATTGCTAAGAAATGCAAAAATGTTAATTGATTAAAAAAAATTGGACAGCTTCTAAGTACCTAAAGGTTTCGAGACACTGGTATTACAGATGGTAAAAGAGAAATAAATGGGGATCTTCTAGCTATCACATTCTAATGACTTTCATTCTAACTGATGACAAATATTCTACATTCAAGTTAAGCATCTGCACTCACTGCAGCTCAAGTCATAGGTAGAGGTGTTTGAAGAAATATTTTGTACCAAAAGGTGTCTTGGGAAGCAAAACCCCATGGGATCTGCAGCAAACATGCAAGAGTCACTGAATGCATACTCTAAACACATCTTCCCACCTGAAATATCTCTCTTTTGTCAAAGAGGTTCTGTGGTTGAGGCACAGAGAAATGAAACAGGATGAGGTACTGTTACTAAAATGTTTGCAACATTCTTGAAAACTTGCTCCCTAGCTCTTTCCACATTTGTAATCTATGAATTATAAAATCCAGCATTTTTAAAGTGTTGCAAGTCACACACATGAAAACACAATTTTTTTAAATGAGAAAAAGCAGTAACACAATTACATTAGTTTCAGAGAAAGGGATAACAAATGAAAAGTGCCTAAGTTGTAGCATAAGAGCTTGTATTTCTAAACACAACTGAGACAGCCAAGCTACTTGTACCTTAATATCTCAATGCTCAGCCATTAAATCTTTAACATAGATTTTAAAAGGGAGGTGGTCAAACTTACTAAGTATTCTGTCCTGTGAGTTATGATTCTCCCTCCTTCATTTATTTGATAAAGCCTGACACTGCCATCACAGCAGTTACCTGTCAGTCGCGGAACATCAAAACATCAGAAGCCGGTCACGCCGTAGTTTTCTGCCCCACAGAAGGCAGAGGTATCAAAAAAACATTACTATTATTTGCCTTCTGGGGACACCAAAACCTAAGTGCCTGAAACTGAGATACCTTCTGCAGACAATGAGGTATGGTCTGCAGACACCTCCCTTCTCTCTCTAACATCCAGAACCTGACCATGTAATCTCAGTAGAAAACCTTACAGCACATGGGAGTTACACGCAAGGCAGTCTGCTGAAGTTACTGTACGGTGTAACACTACCACGTCTCCTCAGTCTAACATGCAATTTAGGACGTATGATCTTGAATATCTTGATCACTCATACAGCTACTGAGCTGAACTTAAGGCAGGCCAAACAGCTGAAATCCAGTGAGAAAAATGATGATCTTACTGCTGCGCTGTTTGATATTATGATCTTATTAAGCTTTAATACACTTAAATCATATACATACTTCAAGCAAATGTGGAGAACAGATATGTTTATTGCTAAAATGGATCTGTTAACTGGACAGAGGAAGAATCAGCATTCTAATAAAATTATATTCACAGCAGAGACCAATTCAAGGGAAAAAAAAATTAGTTGATTTCAAAAGTTGATGGAAACACAAAATCATTTTTTCCAGCAAAAACCCTGAAGGGGAATACACAATGTACTGCATTCCACACTCGCTCTGTTCTCTTCAGCAGACCCACAGCTGAAATGTACATGATAACCCTATGTGGAGAACTTCAAATAGTTGCTCAATCATGTGAAGAAAAGAGACAGACACAAAAAAAGTACAACAGTGCTATGTACGCCGATAACAACAAAACATAACTAAAATCTGTCTTCTGAGTCTTCTGGCCTTTACATCATTCAGTTTATTTAAATCATGCATACTGGAATCATAACAAATAACTTTAATTCTAACTTACCTACTGAAGTTTCTGTGAACACTGTTAAGGTCTGTCCTCCCACACTTTGCAAAAGAAATGGATGTTCCCTTGGTGCACTGACTGAAGCAGGTTTTCCTCCAATATCACTGATGCTTGCAAGCTCTTCATTCAAAGTAAATGACACCTAACAGTCACAATTACCACAGTGTTACTAAACAGACTCAATTACACAACTTCACGAGTTACAGGAAACAAAAAGAGAGAAAACGCAAGTAATGTATCACATTTCCATTTCAAAAACATAAGGAGAGTCTTACCATATTATCTCTCAGTGAAATACAAAATTCAAAACTTTCATGTACTTAACCAAATTTACTCATCTTTTAAAAAAACTGCAAATTACTTCCTCCTGGAGTCAGAGAACAATTCAATCTTATTTGTTAAAATGTAAGGCATAATAGGTTTTCAGACATTGCTGAGTGCTCTAAAATGTTTTACACAGCCAGCTAGCTGAGTTCCAAAAGAAGTGCTAATGTACCACAAGTGTTATCAGCCCAAGGACTCCTGAATTGCTTGGAGCCCAGAGAGGTTCAAATACAGCTCCTTCGCTAAGTTTACATTGTATGCCAAATACAGGAGCTGAGGATGTACTGGGGGGGACTGGGTAACCAGAAGCCCTAGCCTCAGGACACAGCAAAAAACCTGAAGAGGGACATTTCAGACCAGCACTGCGTGCTTTTCCTGTGGGTCTTGCTTACCCTCATGCTGTCACACAGCAACAGGGTCCCTGGGAAGCCGCCCGTTGTCATGGGGCTCCTCACAGCTTAGCTCGGCAGGGACTGCAAAATAAGCTTTGTGGCTTCCATCAATATCATGATTTTGGTGTGGCGCTCACAAAATTAGGGAGGTTGGCTCATATTCCAGCCTAGCAGGGTCCAATCAAACAACTAAAACTCCAGTATAACTCTCTCCACTTACTCTAAAAGGAGTCTGGCCAAGCTATCAAATGGCAAATTCAGCTTGCTTTCCTGCAATTCTTTTTGTTCACAGTTTCTTACAGTTCAGTGACAGACCTACGTGGTATTTGAAGTAATTCTAACACAACTTCCCTTATCGCCTATAAAAGACACAGGAAGTTACTATCATTCACTGAGGCTGCCAATAATAGCAGTTACGTTTGCATGCAGAAAAACTTTCAAGTTGCTTTATACTTGGTAGGACAGACATACTTTCTGAAATTGCAACCCCAAGTTCTTCTGCTTTATCATCATCGTCCTCCTTAGTTCTCAGCCTTTTGCACTAACATATTTCAAAATGTTTAGAGAGAAGGCCACTACTACGATTGCTGCTTACAGATGGGTAAACAAACTCAGGGAAAAAAAGAGACCAGATGGACGTCCCGCAGTAAGCCTATGGGCAGAGCTATGAACAGAACTCTCTCCTCTCAGCTCTGTGGTACAATGCTTCATTACAGGTGTAACAAAAGATATGTGACATCAGAAACCAATATGTTCTAAACAATTTTTAGAAATCAAAATATAACACATTCACAGCCTTTGTATTTAGTAATTACTTACTTCCGTTCTTCCTTGATTTCTGCAAAAGAAAATATTTAATGTTTTAGTTTCCATAATCTAATTTCACAAGTTTAGCTTCCCTGATAAAAAAGCAAATTCAAATTCTAGTTTTGTTACTCATCTTCACTCCTGAGCTGCTCAATTTTTTTTGTTATGCTGATGCCCAAGAATAAATGGGAAAAGTCAGCAGGTGAGAACAGAAGCAGCAAAATAGCACATAAGTAAGTTAAAGAACATTCTCCAGTTAGATGTGCATATTTCTTGGGTTTAAGAAATCAAATACCATGTTATGGGACACAGCCACTTCCCAATATAATTTCATATATTTTATGTATTGATAATCACTATACAAGCAAGTATCTTTCAGGTTTTAGAGACATATGCACAGTGTTTGCAAATAACAGGATTACATACTACAAAAGGTGCAATACAATCTATTTTACTGCAGGTAACTCCTATGTACAATGCCAACAATCCGAGTATTGCAACCAATAAAGGTATAGTAAAGGCTTACTTGGCAATCCTTAGTTTTCCCACTTCACCTCTTCCTGAAGCTTTATTCCACTGCTGTGACAAGTATTTGGGGACCTAAGAAAATATAACAGATTTGAAGAAAAGCAAATTTAAAAATTCTATATAAACTGTGTATAAACTTTAAATGCATTTACCCTGACCACTTCAGAATACAGTACAATCTAAATATAGTAGAAAATATATTCTACTAGGGAGAGCAGGAGAACAATGCAGCACAAAAGTAACGTCAGGGCTGAGTCCCAAATGAGGACTCTACACTGTAACACTCTAGTAGAGGACTCTACTCAGTAGAGGACTCTACTCAGTAGAGGACTCTACTCTCGTAACCCTTGAATCTCAAATACTATTATCCAATCATGACAGGCAAAAAAGATCAGCATCATATTCTTAAACAAAGGAGTCCCAATAACTTTATCAAGTAATACTAGGCTTTTAAATATTCATTAGAAACTCTGATCTCTCTATGAAGAACAAAAAAAAACCCCAACAACAACAACTGACAATGAGAAGTTAGGAAATAACAAGTCAGACCAAAAGGTGCTGTGAAGGGAAGGCTTAGAGTTTGGGAACCTCAGGCACATTCAGCAGCAAACCGTAGCCTTGCTCCCACCAGACGCTCACTTACTCAGCAGCAGAACTACCCTGCTCAGATCTGTCTCCCATAACTCACTCCCACCCCTCCACTCTGCTGAGCAAGGCCTTTGTGCAGATGGTCGGTATATAGAAAGAGCAAACTGATCTGACTGGGAAGTGTGGGTGACTTCTATATTTTAGCTGTGCTGACTTTATATTTAGCAAGTGGAATAACCAAACCAGCTCCCCAACCCATTTTCTCAAGCGGCTGCATAAAGCAGAGGTCAGTGCAGGGACAGGAACAAGCAGTCTTGCTTAACCTGACACAACCCAGGAATAAAAGCTGTTCCAGTGATGCTGACTCACCTACACACACACACTCCAGTTACAGAGGTTTTGGCATCTACAGCCTCGGGTGGCCGGGGCTCACGATGGACAGTAAATGCACCTACGTAATCAACCAACAAGCTGGAAGCTGGCTGTCCAAGCGGACCCATTTTTCCTCTCTTCCTATCAATCTAGTGTTAGCTGAAATCACAGCCTGCCTCTCCACTCTCTGGCCACAATGTACCAGCTACCTACTGCCAGGTAAACTAGACCCCAACAGGTGGCACACCCAAGGCCAGCCCCAACACCTTGCTGCTGCTGCCGCGCCGCCAACCCACGCCCTGCAGACTCCCAGATGTGTCGCGGACATGACGACGGATGCACGCCTGGGTGCAGCAGCAGCAGCACTTCATTTTTCTGGAAAGAGTAATGCCAGGAGATGGTGCCCAGCCACTGGCAGTTACCTTGGTTCTCCCTAAAGACCAGGCAATCTTAAAAATTATAAACAACATTTATTTTGTGAAATCCAAAGGTTAAGTCTTTGTTTCAATATATGGTGCTATCTCTGTTTAGCTGACAAACACCTATAAATCTGGGCACTTGCATGAGGGCACAGTTCCCCAGGACTTCAAAAGATGCCCTACACTGGTGGCTGTCACCGACCCTGTCCAAGAGAGGAGCTCCCAGCTCAGCCCACATGTCCGTCTGTCCAGCTCTGGTGAGGCGCTTCAAGCTTTTCAGTTTAGCCCCAGGGGAACTTCTTTACCTTCTCTGCTCCACCACTTCTAGCCATGTCTACCTTTCCTTGCAAGAAGCAAGATCAATCAGTTATAAGCGCAGAGCATAAGGTTTTGCAGATCACATAGATTTGCAGATCACAGGTTTTGCCCCCCCCCGTTCAGCAATTATGACTGTCTTCTCTATGACGGTTTTTTATACAGACTGAATGTGACAAGTTAGTACAACAAAAGTGAGGTTGGAGCAGTTTCCCCCCTACACACAACCTATTAGATGTACAAGTACTGTGGCACATCAAGAGATGGAATACAGACCTGAGGCAGTAAGGACAATCTCACACCTGACTATTTAAAACTAACTGTAAGATGTTCAAGTTACAGATTTTTTTCAAAAGGAAATAGCTGAAAGCAGTCTAGCAGAAGCTACTACTTCCTATGAACCCCTTTCTTTCTAAGAAGGATGCAGCAGTTGCTGGGAGAACATCATCTTAAAGGCCTACAGAAGTCTCAGTGTCTAGCAAAACAGTGACTTGCTAAAGGAAAAAATCATTTACTGTTCCAATGCCACGTACTAAAGAAGTATTCCAATACAGGAATTTTTAATCTTTTTTTCTTCATATGCTCATGACACATCAGGACAAATCTGTATTCTTTATTTTTGCAGCAATGTTCTTTACTGGTACAGTAAAGTTTATTCTGGCTCACACAGTCCACAGCTACTGAAAACATCTGTGCCCACGTAGAAACGGTGTGAGACACAGCCAGTGAGAAAGAAAAATGCACTAAGTTACGCCTGTGGCATTTTCTGTTTCAAGCAGCAAAGAGGCACTTTGTAGTCTGATTTTCGTCTTGCATAGAATAAAACTAAGCCAAGTTTCACTGCACAGCTGAGGAGGTGAAGAGCCTGTTCTGGAAACTTGTTGACAAACAGCAACCTGCTAACTTCCTAAAGCTCAAATGAATTTAACACTAAGCTTGCATTGACCTGTCATTCTAAAAAACCCAGAAAACACCTCGGTACTGGCACTTAGTATGTTCCTGCAGTCTCACGGCACCCCATGAAGTACTGTGGAATAGCTAGAAAATTCAGATGTCCTTCAGCTGCTCAGCCAAACTAAATGTCAGTCCAGGTTTCCATAAAGTCCTAACAGTGGGTCAAATATGCCACAAATGTACAACAGAAAGCCATGAATTGGCACAATCTACTGACAGGTACTTTTTTTCCACAGTTTTCAAAGTGGTAATTTTCTACAGTGGATATCATGCCAGATCAGATACCATTTTCTTTCTGCAGCCAAGATAAATGCTATGACATGTGCCCCAGCTGACTCAACAGAAATCTTATTATGTGCTCTCACCTAATCTGTATATATTTATACTGCCAGTAATAAGGTAGACACACATTCAGCATGAGTGGACGAGAAGTGAAGGACTCTCATGCTGTTAAAATCACTGACTTGCTATATAATACAATCAGACAGGGAATTTATTCAGATTAAGAGGTTGCAGATCAATCATACCTCTTTCAGCTGCATGGGAAACAGTTGCAAAGAGTGCAATTAATGATCTTTCTGCAGTCAAGGGCTATGTAGAGAAAGAAAAAGGGTTATGAAGGACTGTGATCAAAGGATTACTTCTAGCTATACACAGTTAGTTCAGTTAAAACCAGATGGTACTTTCAAAACCGTGTGCTAAACTCTGTAGCTCCATGCTAATGGTGTAAACAATCACAGGAAAGATGAAATAAAGTCTTACACAGAATCACAGAATGGCAGGGGTTGGAAGAGAGCTCTGTGGATCATCTAGTCCAACCCCCTGTCAAAGCAGGGTCACCTACAGCAGGCTGCACAGGACCATGCCCAGGCAGGTTTTGAGTATCTCCAGAGAAGGAGACTCTGTAGAGTCTTAATTTGCCATTTATCTTAATTTATAGTCTACACTGTAGACATCTTAATTTGCCACTTTCTTTTAACTTTAGTGTAATAAAAGTTTAATTTACGGAGAACAGTCAGTTTTCAAACTCTTAAAACTCCTTGAAAGAACGTACATAAAACAAGAACAACCTGCTTTTACAGAGCAGAAAGAATTTCCAAAGATCCCACAGCAGGACTTTGAAAAATACACACCCACAGGAAGACGGACTTGCGGACAGAGTATGTGCCATACCGAAAGGCTACTGAACGTTTTCAAGACAAGTGGCCTTTATTCTGGGATTTGTAGGTAAGAACACTCTTCTCTACAGAAAACATACAATTTAATCACGAGAAGAGATCTGGCGCACTAAATAGCATCACTCCAAGACCTCTTCAAACTGCTGTTTTCTTCTTGCTACTCACACCACACTTACACCCAGGCTCCAGCACATGAGGCACCCTGCAGGTAGCGTACGACACGACGGCCTCCGCTCCACACATCTTTCAGCTTATTCACAGCTTCTTATCTGCCTTTAGAACAAAACAGTCAAAACAGGCCCTATCTGTAGTAAACCACTTCCAGTCTTCTGTATGAAACTAAATTAGCTCCTTCTCTGTATAGCACTCCTTATGCAGTACGTACATCAGAAACAGAGGAAGGCTGATGTCAGGTTCTATGCTTTCATTTTGCTTTGAACAGACAAAAAACTTTTATAAAGATACCATCTTTCTAAATAGAGATCAATGCAGCTGATTAAATAAAAAACTAAACCATCACACAAGGAATAAGAAATTAATGATTCTAGTGGCTAACACTAAATGAGCTTCACTTTACCACAAGTACATAACCAACAGTTCTTATAATATTTCCTTAACTTAGTTTTCACTGAAAAGACAGAAAAAAATATTCCAGTTGCTTTCTGGGCTTGTACTAAAGCGATTCACTTGACTTCTGGTAACTCCTCTTACTGCTCATGCTGCTAAAGTACTCATCACTACACTTTTTTATTGCCTGTTAAGTAGTCTCTCTGGAATACTTCCTGTGCTAGCGTAATACATACTAAAACGAAATTTAACAAGCCAGTTTTTTTATTCCAGCAGACCTGATTGCTCTCTCCCTCAAAGGAAATACAAATTCAGCCTCATTATCCTAGCTAGTAAAGATAAAAAGTACAGGTGCTGAACACTGTCATGCCTCTGAGTGTGTTGAAGGTCCTAGTAACAAGAGTGGTTCTTTCCAAGTTTAGGTCCGACTGCACATCCCTTGTTACTGTCTACCAACATTAGCAACTTTGTAATTTTTAAGAATTTTTATTATACAAGAAGACAGCCATACTATAAATTCAGACCATGTGTATGAAGGATTACATAACACTTGGAGAAGCGATATTTAAGCATGCCTCTCAGCCTAGTTTTCTCATAAACCAGGTAGCACCCTGTGCTCACAAGGTGGCATGAACTAGAAGCACAGGTGTGCCTGAAAATTCCTGGCTTGCTTCAAGAACCACCAAACTGTATCAGACTAAAGGACAAGCAAATTCAGTGTCCTGTCTCCACATGCAGCCAACAGCAGCACTTATGGAAGAGCAGAGCATAAGAAGAAAAGGTATTTCCCCAGCACACTATTCTTATTACTGTGATCTTTGACTCAGCAGCGTTGCGGTATGAAAGCATATTCATTTTTAGTATCTCAATCTGATTTTCTTGCCTGAAATTGCCTAATGGCTTTCTGAGCTTCTGTGAAGTTTTGACATTCACAACTTCCTATCGCAACGAGCTCCAAAACTGAACTACACATTGTGCAAAATGGTACCTGCTTTGTTTGCTCTGAGCCCCAGCAGATGAACTGATTCGACACACCCTTAATTCTTGTGTTAGAACTGACTCTTCCCTACTCAGTTCTCCCCTGTCCACCTATGACGTTACTCATTACTTTACAGACCTCTGTAAGATTTCCAAATCAATCTTCTTGCCAGCCTGAAAGGTAACAATGTATTTAGGAGTTTCCTCCACAGCCGCCATTCCTTGTTCCCCAGATCATTCCCAGTGCCCTTCTCTGCACTGTTTTTAGGTCTACTGTATACTTTCCATGACAGAGAATAAGACAGACCAGAAATACACACAGTATTCAGGATACAGACAATATGATGGCATAATAATATGGTCTCTTTTGTTCTGTTTGTAACCATGCCCAATGTTGAATCTGCTCTTTTGACATGCCATTCTCAGTTATTTACCTGTACTGCTACACTAAACCTCCTTTCTAATGACAACAAGCAGCAGAGACCAAATTGCCGTGTAAATATTGGGACAGTTTTTCTCTGTGCACATCAGATAAGATTTTTCAACCCTGAATTCCACCTGCCATTTTATCATCCTCACACTCCGTGTCATGATGTACTTCTGCAGCTTTCTACTGGCAGCTTTCATTTTCACTGTCCCGGATAAGCTATTACAATCAGAGCACTATGCAGTGTCCATTACGGTTTCATGAAACCAGACGTACAGGTGTCGGTACGAAAGAGGAAGCCGGATGCAGCGACCTACCCACCACCAGAAACCCCGCACAGCAAAGGAAGTCTGAAATTCCCCATCGTTTTCAAGGGCCACAATAAGATGTTTCGCCAGTTGAACTATGATGGTCTCACAGCCCGTCACCACCCAGGATCATTTTCTGGGTACTACCCTGTCCCCACAGGTTCTTTCACTTTGATGGTCTGAGCCTGTTACCTCCCTCCCCAAAGGAGGAAGAGGTGGCGGCTACTGTTTCCTGTTTCTCCCCAGACAGAACAAACACAGGGCTAGAAAAATGGGGGCACATCCACAGGGAACTACAAGAGGGCCAGGGCACATATTCCCCCACTGGCTGCCAGTCTCCTCTTTCCTGAGCTGAGGCTTGCTGTCGCCAGCAGAAGCAGCCAAGGTGTCTTGAAAGAGAAGCCCTCCACAGAGCAGAACTGAGGCGGCCCGGCCCTGCTCTGGCCAGGTGCTCAGGTTTGATGCGACGATCCTCACACCTATTTGCAGTGCCTTCATTGTAGCTGCGCTTCTCCAGCACCAAGCTGAGCTGCAGGGACCAGACACCGGAGCTCGATTTCCTTTATTGCCGTTTAACCAGGAAGTGAAGCTGGAAGCGCTCAAACTTCCTCAGGCTCTCAGAGTTTGGGGAAAATAAAATTTATTATAGAATCATAAGGTTGGAAAAGACCTCTAAGATCATCAAGTCCAACTATCAATCCAGCACCACCATGCCTGCAAAACCATGTCCCCAAGTGCCACATCTACAAGTTTTATGAACCCCTACAGGGATGGGGACTCCAACACCTCCCTGGGCAGCCTATTCCAATGTCTGACCACTCTTTCAGTAAAGAAATTTTTCCTAATATCCATTCTAAACCTCCCCTGATGCAACCTGAGGCCATTGCCTCTCATTCTATCGCTAGTTACCTGGGAGAAGAGACCAACACCTGCCTCACTACCACCTCCTTTCAGGTAGTTGTAGAGAGCAGTAAGCTCTCCCCTCAGTCTCCTCTTCTCCAGACCAAACAGACCCAGTTCCCTCAGCTGCTCCTCATAAGACTTGTTCTCCAGACCCTTCACAAGCCTTGGTTGCCCTTCTCAGGACACGCTCCAGCACCTCAATGTCTTTCTTGTAGTGAGGGGTCCAAAACTGAACACAGTACTCCAGGTGTGCCCTCACCAGTGTCGAGTACAGAGGCACGATCACCTCCCTGCTCCTGCTGGCCTCACTATTCCTGACACAAGCCAGGATAGCGTTGGCCTTCTTGGCCACCTGGGCACACTGCTGGCTCATGTTCAGC